TCGCAACCACTCGGCCCCTTCATCGACCTCGCATCCCCCGCGGAAGTTGCTCCGACGCCAGCGGCGGGAGACGGCGCGCCCACGAAGACCCCGAAGACGCACGAAAGCTTCTTGGCCGAGACGCCCACCCCACTACACACACGACGCGCAGAAGACCTGAGCTTCGACGACCCCAACGACCGCGACCTCGGCGACCCGACGCGCGCCGACAGTCCAGGCATCGCCGACCCCCCTTGACGAGCAACCGACACCAGGTGCTCCCTGGGGAGCAGGCCCCTCCCTGCCCCCCCCCGACCCCCATGGCCGCCCCCCCGCCGCGGGCGCAATCCGCGCCGCTCCCCGACGACCCTGTCTCCCCACGACCCCCCCGACCGACTAACGCACAGACCACCCTGCTGGGGAACCCGGACCCCCCCCCCCCCCACGCTCCTCTATCGCGCTCGAAGTTGGCACCCCCTTCGCACCCACCCAGCCCTCTTCCCTGGGGCCACTTCCAGCGCGCTTCCACATTGCCACTCCCGACCGAGCCAGATCTGCACCACCCCCGGCCCTCCGCAGGGCAAGCGCCCGCAGCGGGCCAGCGCGCAAGGTCCGCATCTTGGGCGACGGCGACGGATTCGACAACCCAATGGACCGAAGGCGCTTCAACCCCGAGGGTCGGGAGGGCAGCTCGGGTTCAAGCTCAGATGCGACAGAAAAACTGAGCAGGACTCCCTCCGCTGGGGGGCGACTGGCCCAGCGGGGGGGCCCCGCCGCCACCTCGCCAGGAGATCGAGCACCTAGCCCGCTCAGAGTGGCTATGCGTAACTACCTGCTCTACGGAGCAACCACGGAGCCCCAGCAGACGCGCTGTGCGACCCGTGCGGTGCCAGCCACTCAGCGACATGCCCAGACACGTTTACAGCCGCGCGCTCCACTCGGGAGGCCGCCGACCGCCTCAGCGGTGTTAGCTTGTGGGTTAGCACACCGCGCGACGCCAGCGGCAGCGCAACCTAGCACGTCACAACCAGCGACAGCGACACAAAACAATAAAACCAATAAAGAGACTAGCTTCAGCACTACCAGCGAGTGGGTACTCTACTCAGCCGCGGCGCCTTGGGATCAGCATCGCGACCTTGGCAGCTCGCAGGCACCAGCAACCGCGATTGCACCAACCGTCGGGCCGAGGACCACCCCCTCGGCCGACCACCGCAGTGCACCAACAACCCCACCAGGGCGACCAGCGAGGCCAGACGGGGCAAGCCCCCATCGACCCGACCGACCCACTCTCCAGAGACGAGCCCAGCAGAGGGCGAACCAGGCGACCAGCCAGTTTGGCTTTAAGGCGCCGAACCTTTTTTCTCCAGAAGGGCCTGCCGAAGCGCCCCACCAGGAGGCCCACCGGCGACGGCAGCAGCAAGGACTGCAGCAGCCGCCGCAGCAAGGACTGCAGCAACCTGAGGAGCAGCACCAAGGCTTACTCCACAGGCCCCTGTCAGCTGGACCTCGGAGACCCCCCGAGGCCGGCCTTCCAGCTTCGCCATATATACCCCCAAGAGAGCCCCCCAGGACCTCTGACGGCCCACCAGAGGCCAAGATTGCCGACGCCTCAGGACCAACAGCGGCGCCACTGCTGATGCCCTGGACGCGCCGCCAACACGCGGCGCAGACGCCCAGAGGAGTCGACGCAGCACCGCCCGCTCCTGCGGCTGCCAACTGCATAGATCCACGAGAGATCCACGACATCGAAGCTACCTACCTTGACACCAAGCAGACCAACAGGGGATGCGCCATGCAACCCTTCCGCTCGCGCACCTCTGCCACCCCACTCCCCCCAACATCGACGCACCCGACCGACGCCCAAGAACAGCCCCACACCGCGGGCCAGCGTCCTCCACGAGCGAGAGGGAAGGCCATTCAACCCTTCAGAGCTGCCAGCGTCAAACCCCCAGCACCGCCCGACCAGCCAACAACAACGCCCGCCACGCCACTCCCACCGCTAGAGCAGCGCAGAGTACACTTCGACGAGCGACCTACCATCCGACAAACGATCCGGCAAACTCCACCTCCCGACCTCACCTTTGACTTCTGTGACGAGAGCCGCTACGAGACAGCCGACTACGTGCTCCGTCACTACCCACAGCGACCACTCCAGGAAGGAGCAAAGATCCACCTCTTCACGGGCGGCTCCAAGAACCCGAAGCAGCCGAGCGACGACGCCTGGTCCGCGGTGATCGTCGGTGACGACAACCACGGTTTCAGCTTCCAGGGAGCCATCGTCGGGAAGCACAGGAGCGGCACTGACATCACCCTCAAGGACAACATCGACCACGAGACGACCTCCACGACCGTCGAGATCACCGCCCTAATCTGGGCCTTCGCTTGGGTGATACACCACAACCCCCACCACATCACCACGATATTCACGCACTCGCCCGGTGCCCTGCAGCTCGCGAAGAGGCTCGCCTTCACCGCTCGTGACTCCAAACTCGTCAGGACCCTCTGCATCCTCTACGCCATGTTCAGCCAGAAGATAGACCTGCAGCACGTCCGCGCCCACGACCACAACCCGTGGAACGAGGTTGCTGACACTGCCGCCAACCACGGACGTCTTCGAGAAGTCCCAGTTCCTCAGCCAGAGTGGGCAAGCATCATGGACGGCGCATCCCAGCGGGACTGGGAGTTTCTGCTCGACGCAGACCCCAACACCCGGGAGGCCTACCCCGAATTTGGCCGCGGCTGCCTCATAGCCAGCAGGGTCGAGACGACCGCCGAGGCCCGACACTTCCACAGCCCCGCCGAGTCCAGTGACAAGAAGATTCAAGTTGAAATCAACATCGCGACCTTCAACATCCAGTCAGGCAGAGAGCCCAAGGAAGGATCGAAGCGAAGATAAGAGAAGATCAATAAGCTTAAATCCTCGATGGCCTGCCTGTACGACGAGGACCTCCACGTCATTGGAATTCAGGAGGCCAGGGCGCCACGGGGCGTTCGCGACGCAGGACATGACGACGATGCCAGATGCGCCAACGCCAACAGCTACCATATCATCTCTAGCGGCCATAAGGGGTTTAACTACGGCTGCGAGCTGCGCGTTCTGCTCAGCAAGCCTTACGGCAAGAGCGGCAAGAAGGAGCTCTACTTCAAACCCGACCAGTTCACAGTCATCGAAAAGGACCCCAGGCTCCTTATCGTCCGCGTTGCCGCCCCTGGCTTCAACCACGTGCTTGCCGTCGCCCACGCCCCGCATTCGAAGGCCCTCGAGACCGAGAAGGATCGCTACTGGAAGAAGCTCACGGACACCACCGAAAAGTACCAAGTGAGCATCATTTTCTTCGACGCAAGCGCCAGGACAGGTAACGTCACCAGCGCGGCCATTGGTGACAAGGGCTTCAAGCAAAACGAGGATCCTAACGAACACTGTCTCCATGAGCTTCTCTTGCCCAACCACCTAGCGGCCGCCGATACTTTCGTCAGCCACGGACCCGAGCGCTACACCTGGCACTCGGGCAAGGACCCCCACCGCATCGACTACGTCATCACCCCCAAGAGCTACATTGACTCAATCGAAGAGTGCTCCGTGCTCTACGGCGCCGACAGCGGCCAGGGCCCAGAGACCAAAGACGACCACTACCCCGTCAAGCTGCAGCTCGCCTGCCAGATCGTCCGCCACCGAAGGCGCCCCGAAGCTAGACGAGAGCAAGCTTGCTGACAAGGATGCCGCAAGAAGTTCAGCCAAAAACTCGAGGAAGTCCAACGCCTGTCGTGGGGCACCAACCTCAACGAGCACCTCGCCACAGTCACCGAGAAGATCACGGATGCCGCGTACGAATGCTTCCGCTCCCAAGGCCGCACCCCGCGCAAGCCCTACATCACCAAGCGCTCCTTCGCCCTTCTGCGGGTTCGCCGCTCGCTACTCAAGACGACACGCATCGCCAAGACAAAACGGGATTGCCAGCCACTTTGGCGCAAAGAGGCTACGCTACACGGCTAAGCTCATTGCGAAGCAAGCTCTGCTACCAGACCCCGCCGACGTGAGTGTCCTGGCCGACCTCAGCGACTACGCGAAACTAGTGGTGGCCTCCCTCATACTCAGCACTCCCAGCCCAGCGGCCAGTGCCGAGGACGCCGACGCAGCCAACACCGTGGATAGCACCCAGAGCTACTTCGACGCCCTCATTCAATTCCTCGGGACATCTAAGCCTATCCCCCAGAAGTGGATCACGAGAGATCGCGACGCCTTCCTCGAGATACCGCCGACGAGATGGGCACCGCCATCGACGACCGCGCCCCGTCGAGAGGAGGCCCTGCATGCCAAGCGACCCCCGGCCTTCGGAGGACGGAAGCCCAAGAAGCCGCCGACGCCCATCATCCGCACCAGCGATGACGGAAAGCCCCTCACGGCGAAGAGCGAGATCGCCGACCACGCCTTGGCTTTCTACGGCAAAATTGAGCAGGCCACAGCCACGGATGCAGACGGGGTAGCAGCTGACTACAACAAGAGGACCCGCCACGAGGGACCAGAACCGAAGATCCAGAACATATGCCCAAGCACCAGCTGACCAGCCAGCTCGCCGCCGCCAAGCTAGGGCGCCGAGGCGGCCCCGATCAACTCACCGACGACATGTCCAGAGCTAGCCCTGAAGGGATGGCTCGCCTGCTCCACCCCGCCCCAGTCAAGACCCACTTCGAGAGCACCGAGCCGATCGCCGCCAAGGGCGGGTAGTCCACGTACTTCCACAAGGGACAGGCCATGGAGCTGCAGAAATCCTACCGCCGCATCCTGCTCAATAACACCATCGGCAATATGCATAGCAGCTTCCTCCGCTCCCGCGTGAGGGGCCTGCTACCCGAACTCCTAGAAGCGACCCAGTGCTGCGCCCGACCCAAGATGGCAACGGACTTCATTACCCACACCAGCCTCGCCTCCATCAGCGACCGCCAAAGGAGGTCAAGATCCTGCAGCATCACCTTCCTGGGCCTTAGAGGGGACCTTCCACTCAGTCATCAGAGAGTTCTGCATGCAGCTGCCGACCTCCGCTGACGAGCTCAACGACCTCATCGAAATCATCGACATCCCCGACTTTCTCAGACCAGCGCTAAAGGAACGACTCCAGCAGCCCGCCTACAACAACCAGCATATCGACGACGAGCACCTCTGCCACATGATCGCAGATCACCACGCCACCAACTGGATGACAGCCAAGAGCGCCAGGCACTACCAGCTGCCTCGGACCAGCACCCGACCTGGAGTGCCATGCTCAGACGTAGCCTTCAACATCCACTTCGCCATCATGCTGAGGGCGATCGGCCAGGCAGTCCTAGAGGAAGAGGCCCGCGGCCAGCCGATAGGTGGCCACGAGATCGAGGCCTGCAGCGACCCACTCTTCTCGTCGACCCCTCACGACGGAAGCGCGCTCAGGAACGTGTCTTTCGTCGACGACCTCACAGACTGCAACTCTACCGCAAACGCCAGCGACCTGATCAACACGACGACCCCGGCGGCTACTAGGCTCTGCTCAGCAGCGTTCCAGCACGGCCTGAAGCCACGCCCCGACAAGACCAAGGCCATCCTCATGCATTACGGCGCGGGTGCTAAGAAGGAGAAACAGCGAGTCGCCAAGGAGGGCGCCACCTACCTCGAGCTGGACGGACTATCGATCAAGGTGCAGCTAGTAATGCAGCAGAAAGCCCTTGGTACCATCATCGCGGCGGGCGGGGTCACGGGGCCTGAAATATGCTTAAAGGTTAAACGCGCACTCGGAGCAGCCCGGCCTCTCGAGAAGCAGATCCTCCGCCGCAAGAAGCTCTCGGAGAAAGCCAAGGTGAATTACGTCCACTCGTTCTCGACCTCCTCGGTGACATGCAACCACCGCCTCTGGGGCGACTTGACTCAGAAGGACCTAAAGCACATAGCCGCCAAGTGCATGGGGCCATGCCGCGTGGCAGCCTCGTTGCCCAAGACCAACTCACCCGTCCAGCACATCTCCGAAGCCGAGGCGATCGTCAAGACAGGAGTACCTGAATTCATCACCCACCAGACGACAGCACGATTGCGATACCTACCACGACTCCTGAACCACGCTCCGGCAGTTCTACTCCAGTTTCTCGACGGCGAGCGTCAACGAAAGGGCACCTGGAGCCGCCAGCTCAAGAAAGATTTCGACTTCCTCCGGAAGTACCTTCCACGAGAAAGGTGGCCCAGCCAAACCCAGCACGACCGCGACGTCATCAACTGGGCCCGACAGAAGCCGAAGCTCTTCACCAACGCTGTCAAGGCAGCGGTGAAGGCCCAGATTCACCACATTCGTGACCAGGCTCAGAACGCCAAGCTCCAAAAGGACATTCAGATGATCCCCGCAGTAGCTCCAACAGACGAGTTCGACCACCGCGACGACACCAACAATCATAAGTACGTCTGCTACGCCTGCTGCCGCGTCGCTACCAGGCGAGGCATGGCAGTCCAAATGGGCAGGGATCATCCTGACCACGAGGACCCGCGCTTCTGGGCTACTGGCACCGCATGCCGATGCTGCCAGACCGAGCACCACGCGCTCCCGAGGCTCATCAAGCACCTCTCGGTGGCCCACCGCTGTCGCAAATCCTGGCACGCCTGGCACCTCCAGACGTTGGAGCCGCTGACGGAGCAGCAGATAGCAGAGAACTTCAACGCCATCGCCGAGATCACAGACACCAGCAAGAAGCAAGGACGCCACCCAACCTTCAGCGACAAGCCAGTCCTCCCGTGCGATGTCACGCCGCTGCCGCTCCTTGAGACGTCGCCCGTCGTACCGAAAGTACTCGCCAGACTCGAGTCCTGGCCAGGCAGCCCGCCCGCGAGTTCGCCTGCTGGACCAGCCGAGCGCCAAGGGGTCGTCTTCATCACCGACCGCCCTCGACAGGCCGCCGACCTCCAGCAGATCATGGCCAACAGCGGGATCACGTGCATCAGCGGCTTGGACTACACCCAGATCGCAATCCACAACGACGGCCAGCCTCCAGAACCAATGCCAGAACTTCGGCGAGTACATCGAAGGATCCTACACGGCGAGATAGCGGCCATCTACGTAGAGTTTCCACGACGGACCTGGTGCCGACACGACGCCAGCGACTTTCTGGGCAACAGAGCAAGTAGGCAGCGCACCCTTGAGGCACCCTGGGGACTGCCTGAAGTGTCCGGGACCATCGCCGACGAGATCTTCGCCGCCAACAACGTTGCCAGAGAGGTCTTGCGGATGCTCTTCGCGGCGACCACAACCCACGTCCCCTTCGTCGCCGCCATCGCGGCAGAGTCGACCTGCAGGCAGACTCCCGAATACCAGCACATCGCCAATCAGACAACGGTTAACGAGACTTCGACACAGCACTATGACCTCGGCGCCACACAGATCCTCGACAACGGCACCCGCGACGACCTCCGCAACAGACTGACCACAGCAAACGCAGAGGAGATCGATTTTGCCATCGCCGACCTGCTCGGCTGCAACATAGTGGCTAGATGGGGTGTCAGAACCGCAACCGCTGCGCCGACCAGCCAGAACCTGAACACCATCGACGCGTACTACATCGAACGGGAAGACGAAGCGCCGCCCCCTGCTGAGGCTGATCGCGACGAAGAGCGACCCCGACGACAAGCTCAAAGGCGTCAGGGCGCAAGTCCTGCGGAAGCCCCGAGTGCGTGGGAACACCTCAGGCAGCGTCGCCAAGTTTTGCAGGAGGCGTTAGGGCGCAAGTTCTGGGGAAGCCCCTAATGCGTGGGAGCACCCCAGGCACAAGTCGCCACGTTTTGTAGTATTGACGCAGGCAGCGATCGTACGTGCACAAGTTCAGCGGGCACCAGCAAGCCAGACGATAGACGACCTCTACGACCGCCAAGTACCACCGACCAACCACCACCTACAACCCAATGGATGGCCCACCACACCACCCTGCAAGTCCTCGCTGCTCTGGTGAGGCAAGGATCAAACTTCGAGACGGGCTCGAAGGGTGTGGGGGGCAGGACGAGCACTGCCGGCGCCTACCAGGGGGCATGGTGAGGGGCGGGGGGGGGGGGGGGGTAGGACGGCCACTACCCGCGCCCCCGCGGTCCGCCCTAGCTCGCCACCCCCACCATCCCCATGGCGGAGGCGGAGCTTACCCGAGCGCCCAAGGGGCGAAGCGGAGAGCAGCCGAGACATCCCTCACCGACAACAGAAGCAAGCACTAGGCCTGGGGTTCGCCCCCACCGAGGGCACTGTGACCCGTAGCCGTGGCGGGACGAGGTGGGGCCGCCACGAACCCCACTTGAAGTCGGTGCATGGAGGCCTCATAAGTGCGCCCACAACCCACACCACAACAACAGCAACAAGCCCACCTCCCAACGACCCACCTACAGGCACGCATGACAAGCAACCACAAGGTCTGGGGTTCGCCCCCGACCGACCACCCACCCCACCACCACCACCCCGCCAACTACGACCACCACCTCGACACGATCCGCCTGCTGACAGGAGGACATGAGCAGGGTCCTCAGCAGCGCGGCACGATGAAACCACGACGGAGCCAGCTGGAAGGAGGACAGGAGCAGGGTCCTCAACAGCGCGGCTGGACGAGCACGCTTGGAAGATGCCGAAAAGGAGGACAGGAGCAGGGTCCTCAGAAGCGGCCCCCAGCACGAATGCCCACAGAAAGGAGGACAGGAGCAGGGTCCTCAGCTGCGCGGCAGAGCACCGACCTCCCACTCCAGTACCACCACCCCGCCAGCAACGACCATCACTTCGACATGATCCGCCCGCTGAAAGGAGGACAGGATCAGGGTCCTCAGCAGCGCGGCGTGATGAAACCTCGACGGAGCCAGCTGAAAGGAGGACAGGAGCAGGGTCCTCAGAAGCGGCTCCCAGCATGAATGCCCGCAGAAAGGAGGACAAGAGCAGGGTCCTCAGCTGCGCGGCGGAGCACCGACCATCACCGACCACGCCAAGAGGAGGACGCGGCGCACCGTGCGCCGCGGCGAGGCCGCCCCCACCCCTCGGGCCGAAGGGGGGTGCGGCCCGCCCCCCGTGTAACAGACGGGGGGCGCCAGCTCGGCCGAGCTGCTATGCGGCTAGAGAAGGCCGGACGCCCCTCAGTTCGCGAGCAAAAGAGGGGCGTCCGTCGCAAAGGAGGACGTGGAGGACCAGTACGGCGCCCACCTGAGGTTCACGTGCTGATGGGCTACGGCGCGCCCAGCGGCGGCGCGCCGCAGAGCCCTCACTGACAGGGTTCGCTGAAAGGAGGAGGAGGAGGAGGAGGAGGAGGAGGAGGAGGAGGGACACCTCTTCCTCCTCCGACCGAGCGGCGAGGACATCCGGAAGCTCACGAGCTTCGACAGGTCGGACACGGACCGGACCAAGATGCTAAAGGAGGTGCTCAAGTCCGCCGCGAAGGCGGCGGCCGCGGAGGAGGGCGACCAGCTCCACGCCCCCACCCTCAGGCACGCCTCCAAGGCCCTGTCCGACAGGTGGGCGGCGCCAGAAGAGCATCGAGGCTCGAGGCTCGAGGCTCGAGGGTCGAGGGTCGAGGATCGATCGAGGATAGAGGGCCGAGGATCGAGGATCGATCGACAATCGAGGATCGGCCCCCCTGTCTTCGAGGTAGCCCCAGGTCTCCTCGGCGGGAGGGCTGCCCCCCTCAACAAAGCAGGGTTGACTGGCGCGCGCAGGGACTCAGAGGAGGAAAAGCACCTGTACCGCTACCCCAAATTTCATAATAGGAAGGAGGGGGTCACAGCCATCCCAGACGAGCAGTTTTAGACCCCGACCCCCCCGAGACCAGCCATGACAGGGCGGCCCTTTACCCAGACCCCACTGGAACCCTCCAAGACAGCTCAGATCAGACTCCCTTCCAAATTAGACCACCCCCCATTGAATTGTCAAGTCCGGAGTACCCTCCCCCGTTTTCGCTTGTTTGGGCCTCTTGGGAGGCCATCGTCGCCACCGCCGGATTCGCCTTGCAATTATGTTTTGAGCGCGCCCTGGGGGGGGTCCGGGGAGTAGCCTCATCGGTACCTCTTGGTTTCCCTAATGGCGCGCTCATTGGGGCCACGCGCAGAGGGGGGTAGGGGGAGGGGGAAAGGCTTCGGAGAAGGAGGCTGCTTCTTAGGAAGCGCGGGCCTTTTCTATAGTTGTAAGGCCCGCGCTTGGAAGCAGCTTCGTTCTAAGAAGCCCGCCAAACTTTGGCGCGTCAACTTCCCGCGCAGGCTCGCGCGTAAGCGCCCTCTTCTCCGCGCGGTGCGCCGCGCTGGCGGCCCGCAGGAGCTGCGGCGTGAAGTCGCCTATGTGATCGGTTTTGGCGACTGTTTCGAGCGAGTGGAGTCCCCCCCCCAGAGGCAGCACTCTTGCAAACAGTCGCGCTAAGCAGAGGTCGGGAGCCTTCCCCCCCCCCTCCCCCCACCCCTTCCGCCCAATGCCGAAACGCCGCATAAGGAAACGTTCACTATGTCGTCGTGTGTGAGGCCTGATTCTTCTCGCCGCTCAGGTCGTTCCTCGGCTCGAAGAAGCGGAGCGTGAGCCCTCGCGTGTCCGACGTCCCGAGGGGCTGCGCCCGCTGCCGCTGGCCCCCGGGCCGAGATCCCAGACCTGCCCCGTGAGTGGCCGTCGTAGCCTCTTCCGGAAGCCACCGTTAGACATCTTCGGGGCAAGCAGGGCAATCGACAGACATTGGGACCGTAGATTCGTTTTCGGTCCCATGTGCTTCGGTCCCAGCTTCTCTCGTGTCTTCTGGCGCTATCTACAGAGCGGCGCAGCTGGGACGTACCTTCCGTTCCCCTCCCCCCCCCGTGCTCCTGCGCGCGCGTGCTGGCAGGACGGAGGGCCATAGCCATTTTAGGCCAGGTGGGCGACGTGGTCGCCAAAAGCTCACTCGGAGTGCCTTAACAAACGAGCTATCCCAATCACATGCTTGAGATGTCCCAGAGCTTCAGTTGTTGTATTGTGATGCGTCAGCACGTCAACGCACGTCTTGCTCACGGCGAGCGTCCTCTGTCTCCGAGCGTTTTGGCGCTCTCTTGGGATGTTACTTTGGGCGGTCTCGGGACCACCATGCGGCGATCTTAGGTCGTCTTGGGCCCTTTTGCCCTTGAGGGCATTCTTGGGTATCTTCTGGAGGCTTCTTGGGCTCGCTTGTCCACCATGTTGCGCCCCCATGGGAGCCGGAGTGGCCAGGATACCTTTTCGCACGCTGTGGTTCCCCGTAGCAGACTCCGCGGAAGAGAGAGCTCCTTGCGCGATAGCCGACCCCGAACCAAGCCTCCAGGTGGGTTTGGGAGGTCACCGCGGCGACCGCGGCCGCCACACATCGGGGCAAGGTTTAGGTCGGGAATGTCCTCCTGTAGGCGGAATGTGCAAGAAAGCTAAAACATAGTCAAGCATGCTCAACCATAGTCAAAAGAGCACGACAACTCGTTCCCAGACTATTTGTTACTAGTCTCGCATATTCCTGCTGTAGAGGGACATGCCTGACTTAAGGTAAGGTGTTTGTCAGGGAGTGGATTTCCCGCTCCCAGCTCCCCCCCCGCGTCTGCGATGTGGACGTGGACCCTATAATCCAGCTGCCTGAGGCAGAACGCGCCACATGTGCCAGTGCAACAGCGCGGCAGGAAGGAGGCCGAGAGGCGATCGTTTTCTTATTCATTGTTTTGCCGATCGGCGCGGGCCCTCGCGCCCCCTCCTCCCCCCCCATGGAGTAGATCTTGGCTGTTATTCCCCACATGCTTCGTGGGGTTCTGGTTTTCTTCCCTGCCGCGCCGCACCCGCGACACACACCTCACTCTTCGTACAGCACAGCTCAGCTCAGCACAGCACAGCACATCACAGCACAGCACAGCACAGCTCAGCACAGCACACAGCTCAGCTCAGCTCAGCACACAGCACAGCTCAGCACAGCTCAGCACAGCCCAGCACGGCTCAGCTCAGCACAGCACAGCACAGCTCGTGGCACTTTCTCGACACCACAGGGGGTGCGCAGGGGGTGGTCTCTCAGCTCGGTCGCTATCCACGACACTGGCGCAAAGCCTAGCAGGCGTGGCACTTTCTCGACACCAAAGGGGGTGCGCAGGGGGTGGTCTCTCAGCTCGGCCGCTATCCACGACACTGGCGCAAAGCCTAGCAGGCGTGGCACTTTCTCGACACCACAGGGGGTGCGCAGGGGGTGGTCTCTCAGCTCGGCCGCTATCCACGACACTGGCGCAAAGCCTAGCAGGCGTGGCACTCTCTCGACACCACAGGGGGTGGGCAGGGGGTGGTCTCTCAGCTCGGCCGCTATCCACGACACTGGCGCAAAGCCTAGCAGGCGTGGCACTTTCTCGACACCACAGGGGGTGCGCAGGGGGTGGTCTCTCAGCTCGGCCGCTATCCACGACACTGGCGCAAAGGCTAGCAGGCGTGGCACTTTCTCGACACCACAGGGGGTGCGCAGGGGGTGGTCTCTCAGCTCGGCCGCTATCCACGACACTGGCGCAAAGCTAGCAGGCGTGGCACTTTCTCGACACCACAGGGGGTGCGCAGGGGGTGGTCTCTCAGCTCGGCCGCTATCCACGACACTGGCGCAAAGCCTAGCAGGCGTGGCACTTTCTCGACACCACAGGGGGTGCGCAGGGGGTGGTCTCTCAGCTCGGCCGCTATCCACGACACTGGCGCAAAGCCTAGCAGGCGTGGCACTTTCTCGACACCACAGGGGGTGCGCAGGGGGTGGTCTCTCATCACACTCGCGACACTGGGCGCAAAGCCTAGCAGGCGTGGCACTTTCTCGACACCACGCAGGGGGTGGTCTCTCAGCTCGGGCTATCTCGACGGGGGAAAGCCTAGCAGGCGTGGCACTTTCTCGACACCACAGGGGGTGCGCAGGGGGTGGTCTCTCAGCTCGGCCGCTATCCACGACACTGGCGCAAAGCCTAGCAGGCGTGGCACTTTCTCGACACCACAGGGGGCGCAGGGGGTGGTCTCTCAGCTCGGCCGCTATCCACGACACTGGCGCAAAGCCTAGCAGGCGTGGCACTTTCTCGACACCACAGGGGGTGCGCAGGGGGTGGTCTCTCAGCTCGGCCGCTATCCACGACACTGGCGCAAAGCCTAGCAGGCGTGGCACTTTCTCGACACCACAGGGGGTGCGCAGGGGGTGGTCTCTCAGCTCGGCCGCTATCCACGACACTGGCGCAAAGCCTAGCAGGCGTGGCACTTTCTCGACACCACAGGGGGTGCGCAGGGGGTGGTCTCTCAGCTCGGCCGCTATCCACGACACTGGCGCAAAGCTAGCAGGCGTGGCACTTTCTCGACACCACAGGGGGTGCGCAGGGGGTGGTCTCTCAGCTCGGCCGCTATCCACGACACTGGCGCAAAGCCTAGCAGGCGTGGCACTTTCTCGACACCACAGGGGGTGCGCAGGGGGTGGTCTCTCAGCTCGGCCGCTATCCACGACACTGGCGCAAAGGCTAGCAGGCGTGGCACTTTCTCGACACCACACGAGGTGCGCAGGGAGTGGTCTCTCAGCTCGGCCGCTAACCACGACACTGGCGCAAAGCCTAGTAGGCGTAGCACTTTCTCGACACCACAGGGGGTGCGCAGGGGGTGGTCTCTCAGCTCGGCCGCCATCCACGACACTGGCGCAAAGCCTAGCAGGCGTGGCACTTTCTCGACACCAAAGGGGGTGGGCAGGGGGTGGTCTCTCAGCTCGGCCGCTATCCACGACACTGGCGCAAAGCTTTGCAGCCGTGGCACTTTCTCGACACCACAGAGGGTGCGCAGGGGGTGGTCTCTCAGCTCGGCCGCTATCCACGACACTGGCGCAAAGGCTAGCAGGCGTGGCACTTTCTCGACACCACAGGGGGTGCGCAGGGGGTGGTCTCTCAGCTCGGCCGCTATCCACGACACTGGCGCAAAGCCTAGCAGGGAACATTCGCGACGAGGGCCCAGAACGCAGGATTGTGCATATATATATATATATATATATATATATATATATATATATATTATATACATATACATAAGAAAACACATAAGATTTAAATTAAGTATGTGGGGTTCCTCGGTAGCGTAATTGGCGCCTGTTTCACGCAGGCGGAGTCTCCCCCATAGGACGCACTGTTGCAAACAATCGCACTAAGAAGAGGTCCAGAGCCAGACCCCCCCCTTCGCTCAATGTCGAAACGCCGAGTAAGAAACCGCTCACGTGTAAGAACAGCGCAATTCCGACGAGTGGTCTGTCTTGGGACGGGTCGTGAACTCGACTTTGTCTTCGCCCGCGCGGTAGGAAGGAGGTCGAGTTCACGCCCCGCGGCAATTCAGCGATTGGTCTGAATTGGGGAGGGTCGTGGTCCCGGCCTCGTCTTCGTCCGCGCGATTGAGAGGAGGCGAGGAAGAGGAGGAGGAGGAGGAGGAGGAGGAGGAGGAGGAGGAGGAGAAGGGGAGGAGGAGAAGAAAGAGAACTTGAGGACGAGGAGGAGAAAGCTTTTTGGAGCTCTTGTTTGCCCTCCTGGCAGCCTCCTGAGGGCCGCCGGGGCCCCGTGGGGGGCCTCCTGGGGCCTCCTGGGGGCCTCGTGGGATTTCTTGGGCTGTCTTGGGTCGTGTCGTAAACTCGACCTCGTCTTCGTCCGCGCGGTAGGAAGGGGGTCGTGCTCACGCCCGGCGGCAGTTCAGCAGCGAGTGGTCCGAGCTTGGGAGGGTCGTGGCCTCGCCCGCTCGATGGGGAGGAGGAGGAGGAGGAGGAGGGGGAGGAGGAGGAGGAGGAGGAGGAGGAGGAGGAGGGGGAGGAGGAGGAGGAGGAGGAGGAGGAGGAGGAGGAGGAGAGGAGAGGGAGAACATGCGGACGAGGAGGAGAAGGCTTCTTGGGGCCCTCTTGAGGCATTCTCGGAGCCCCCTGATGGCCTCTGACTGTCCTCTTGGGGACCTCCTGGGGCCTCTTGGGGTCCTCTTGGGACTTCTTGGGCTGTCTTTCGAGGGGACGCTTGGCCTGCCCGACGCCTTCGGGGGCCGTCCTGGGGGCCTTTTTCTGGGCCGTCTTGGTGCCATC